AGTTCATAGACTTGAAGTCATCGCGCAATAAGCATGGGAGTTTCCTTTTAAAATTTTTTTATTTACAAATTGGACTATACCAAACTGAAAAGCATATATGAATCATTGACCAATGGTTTAAGTTGTGCAAAGAGGCTGTTCGGACTATTTTTCTCAACAAACCTGGTACATCCTCTAAAACAATTCCAATATGTAGAAAGAGAAACTGGAGGAAGAAAATGGTTCCTTTCTCATAGTCTATTTTACCCGTGAAACAAGTTCATAGACTTGAAGTCATCGTGCAATAACCATGGAAGTTTCCTTTTTTCGCAATTTGGATAGCACCAAACTGTAAAGCATGAATCACTGGTTAGGAGAACAATTCCGAATATTAGAGGGCTTGTCCCTCTCCAATGGTTTATGTTGTGCAATCCAAATTGCATAGCATTTTTGAAGAAAGAGTAAAGATCAAAAGGGAGAACGCTAGGATGGGCGCACATGGAGGAAGATCAATAAGTTACATAGTTAGATGTTCAAATATGAAAATCGATTGGATTTACATATCACAACTAAAAGAAATTGCTAAACAATCACCTAATGGCCGCCACCATGGTGAGATAAACCAATCTATCACCAATAACATGCTAATAAGGAGGAATTCAAAATAATAAGAGTATAAGACAAATCACTAACTCAAAAATCTCTATTTCTTGCTAATTCAGTAAATGCAAATCACCAAATCCAGGAGCTGGATTCAAACTTTTACGCAAGGATATCTGTAAAGGATGAATATCTAATGATTACAAACTTCATTCCACTAAAGAGTTTCTGCAACGATGCTTACAAATTTAGAATAGATGACCAAGGCAGCTGAGGTTAACAAAGGCAGAGTTGCAACAGATAATAACACTGCTAAAATATGGAACCGAAACAGAAAAGCAATGATACAAGGCAAACACCGAAATTAGTGTTATGCTCAGAAAAAGGAAAGCAAATCAATTCAGAGAACATCAAACAAGTACTCAAGAATAGCAACATGATAAAATTTGCACATAGGGGCATAACTCACGGCAAGAAAGCTACATCAAATGCTAAAATTCCATAGACAACATTGTGCTTTAAAGCTAAAAAATACAAGCAGTCTCAAATGCATAGCTATACATAATATAATGGTAGCAATACATTCCAAAAATTACTGAAACAAAACAATGAGGAATAACCTATAAATCCATATAGCATTCTAAATAATGGTTTAGCAGGAAGCTTCATGTTTTCAAATTTAAGTTAAAAAATGAATGTAAAAAGCTTTACTCTTTAAAACCTCATAAATTACTTGAATTCAAAACTCGGCACAGGTGGGGCATCAAAGCTCTCCAAAATCACCGTCTTTATTCCGCCACTACCCGCCTCTTCTTTCTTCTTCTCTCCACCAAACCACCCTCCAAACCACGAACTGGAACTGGAATTAGGAGAAGAGGGGTCAGGAACGGGCTGGCCAGAATCCCCACCAGGAAGGCCCATGGAGGCAGGGGCAGAGGCAGGCTCCTCGATCATGATTGGAACATTCTGTTGTTCAGAAAAGGCCTTGTTGAGCATGATGCCTGCTCCTTCGATGAGAGCAAGGAGGACTCCGCCGACGAGGGCGGACCGTCCCGAAGCACCAAGGCCTTGGCGCATCGAGAGGAAGCCACCTGTTGCGGCTCCAGCGATTATTGAGTTCCAGGGATCCTCCTTCTGGCGGAGGTAGACCATGGAGCAGTCGAACACAGAAAACAGGCCACCCCAGACAGCAAAGCTGCCGCCTACCCGCGGCGCGTTCATGCGGACGGCCTGAGAGCCGCCAAGGAAGCGCGAGCCACCGGGTGAGTTGTAGGCGCCCTTCAGGAAGTGGAATAGCGAGCCGCCGACCGCCCCCATCCCGAACGCACCACCGATGTCATCCAGAATACGATCCGGGCAGGGTTCACGAGCGGTCTCCGGAGTTCCCATCTTGAGATAATTGTTGTTCAAATTTGGGGCTTTGCAGAGAACGATCAAGTGAGAGAAGGTTTAAGGTTTTGGGTTTTGGGTTTTGCTTGGGGGAAGGGTTTATTATTATTATTATTATTTTGGCAAAAACCTACTTTGAGCCCCTCACCTTATTAAATTTGAAGGTTTTAACCTCTTATTTTATGTTATGACATTTTTAATTTCCCAACTTACTAAATTTGTAAGTTTTAACCTTTTATCTTATATTATAACACTTTTAACCCCTCACTTATTAAAATTAAAGAAAGTAATCCTCATTTTGTAATATTTTGTTATATTTTGTTAGTTATGTTAGTTAACTATTAATTCTGTTAACTGATTATTAGTTGACTATTAATTGACAAAAATCTTTTTTTAGCTAACAGAGTTAACAGAACTAATTTTATAATATTTTGTTAATTCTGTTAACTGACTGTTAATTTACAAAAACCTACTTTTAACTAATAGAGTTAACA